CTATTGACTTTGGACCAACTGATAGATGATGAAGATGAATTTTTAACATACTGTGTTAAGAGACAAATATCATCTATCCTTCTCTCCAATCTTGCTGATGCAGTCCAGAAGGACACCATGATTAATGATACTAGATTAAGGAGGATTAGGAGGAGAATTGCAATCACCCAGCCTACAGCTGAGACATTCTCCATCCTGTATTACTTACCATTTTCAGACAGCTCTGTACAGACAATACTAGTTCAAAAGCGAGAAATTAGCAAAGCCTGAATAATACTGATCAAATCTGTGATGTTCTCAGAGAGAATAGAATTGTAAACCCAAGCAAATTAATACAAGTTTCTACTGAACACTGATGCTGTCTAAATATGTAAAATTAGGATGTATACCATTAGGATGGGATGGAGCTCCAGATGCTGCTGAATTACAACTATCAGCATCCCTCACTATTGGCTGTGGTTTCTAAGGCTGCTGGGAGTTGTAGTTCAGCAAGGACTGAAGGGTCACACAGTCCAAACCTTGCTGGGATCCCCTTCAGAACATGTACCTTTTCTTCTTGATCTCCATAACTTTTCAGCTTCTCCTTCCTCCTGACCTCTAATTTCACTCAGTCTCCCCCATCCAGCCACAGACACCTTTCATCCATTATTGAAATGATCCATCTCATGAGTAGCACAAACTGTTTCACCTCTTACCTTCAGCTCTTTACAGAAGATCTTCTTGGCTGGTCAAAGAATAAGCAACCCGACTAATCTTCTTTATCTCCCATCTGCTCCTTCTCCTTTTATAGAGAAAAGGAATGAAAAGCTCATTTACAATTTCCAAGGAAAGTTTTCCAGCCACTGAAAGATTCATTTAACCTCTTGGACTTGGATTATTGGTTGGGCAAAGGCAATAGCCAAATTCCACAAGATGCAAAATGAAGTCAGCTTGCCAAAAGTTGTGGTATGCTAGGCATATTCAGAGCCTCTAGAGAAATGTAAATGGTTCACACAGGTCATAGAATTTGGCTAGATGAAACCTCAGCCTTTGGGAAACATGATTCTTCAGAATTATAAATCAGAAGCATACTTACATTTGTTATAATAGCATGCCAAGTTGATTAATCTAGCCATCCAGAAGGACTAGGTGACAGGGACTTAGTCTTCAGTTTAACCAAGTACATTAGTTATCTCCTGTAATATTCCTGGACATATGAATTTTATGACATTCTAAAGCTGCATCTCTGATAATGGTGAGAGATTCAGCAAGTTCTGCCTGCTTCAGTCCAAAGGAAGGGATAAACATGTGGGGTATCACACTAAGGGACCTCTGATGGCTTAGAACGATGGGATGCAAAGTCCAACACAGTGGGAGAATACCAGATTGGGGAAGACTGTCTACGATGGCACCACCAAGAATGGTAATGGCAGAGGCCATCCTGGGAGGAAAGATGGTGGGGGAAGTATGGGCTATGTTCAATGTTTGCAGCATAATGATGCCACCTTCTCAGGCTGGTCCTTTGAGGCAGAGCTGCCTTGGGTGGCTGATGCACATGAATGTCTGCCCGTTTTGCTTTGCTCAAGGGGCACACCCTGGTTCCCATTTAGCTGAACTGTGGCACAGGTACGCAGACAGTGAGTGAGTATCAGACAGAGCCCTGCCCAAGAAGGACTAGGATCTGTGCAGCTGAATAGTCGGAAGACAGGCACAGACATCTGCAGAATCTCTTAGCTTTCGTCAGAATGACAAAAGCGGCACGGTGCCATTGCTCCATGAGCCCACCCCTTTCAGGGGTGTGTGTGACAGCATGATGCACATGTAAAAGAGGCAGGGCTTACAGTAGGATGGCATAATAATGTTCTTGTCAATCTGCCCCCACCCCCGTTAACTCCCCTTCCAGGTGCTGCTGGAGGCAGGTCTTTGTGCACTCCTTAGAAGCTAGCCTGCTGTTCTCCAATGAAAATTGACCTTGTCCCTAATATTAAGGGGGGGGGGGGAAATCAACTGTTTTGTTCCGGTTTTTTCCTTGGAATGGAGGTACCATGCATGTCAGCCAGCCAATGCTCTTGGATCTATTCCATTTATTATAGGAGCCCAACCTTTTGGCATTGAGG